GCCGTCCGGCGCGGCCCTCTGCCTCGTCCTGCCCGCATGCCGCCCAGCCTGGAGCCGGCGCAGCCGGGGCGTCGATCCGCCTGGAGGCGCCGGAACTTCCCCTCGCCCCGCCTGGAGCGGGCGCGGTGTGGGCTCGAACCGCCCGGAGGCGCCGGAAGTCCCCGCACCCCTGCCTGGAACCGGCACGAAGCACAAAGCGTTGACTGACTTGAGGGTTTTGGTTTGAAGCTTTTAGGGTTTTGGGGTTTGGAGTTAACTCAAGAACACTACACTGTAGGGTTAATCGTGGGTTCATAAATCGATTCACCCTCAATTTTTGAGTCATAGTTTCGGAGCAGGCAGGCACTACGACCGCAGCCCGGGGTTTTCGCTCGAATACGGAGCATGGATCACTTCACGTGCATTCCTTCGGAGATCCTAGAGAAGATAGTGGGTCTGGTGTTAGAAGCAGTAGAGGGGCCCGTGGAGGCGGCCGAGCGGAATGCCGAGAGCATCGCGCTCGTCAGCCGGTCCTGGAATGCTGCGATGAACACCGTCGGTTGGGATGCTTTATTGTTCAGGCATCTGGGGACACGCGTCCATTGCGAACCCGAGGACGCCCTGTGGCTATTCCGCATGCTCAGGTCGCACGAGACCCGGATGAACATCACCCAGGCCAGGAAAACATTCAGGATCTCGTCCAGGGATTTGAAGGCTCATACGCGTTTGGTGCCGCTTGAAGGCACAAAGACGACGTGGTATGCCACACAGCAGCTGGTGGCATTGGCCGTAAAGAAACACGGTGGAATCCCAGCCTTCAGGGTCCATATGACCAAGTGTGAGGTGAACACTACGCTGAGCAGAGGGCCAACCGTCGTGAGCATCGTGGGATGTAGTCGGATGGAGCTTACTGGAAGATCGGAGCGGCATCGCTATCATGCTTACCTGATTGCGGTCCTTCTTTCGTCTGCAGATGAGGACAGAGGTGGTGCGGCTCGCTGCACGGGCACGGCAGGACGCGCGGATGCGAGAGGTGGACGAGGCGCTCCAGGGATTTCCTTCCGACGTGCGCCGTCACGTGAACACGAGGGATTACGTTCTCAAGAATTCCGGGACGCTCCGGGGTCTGCGAGACAGAGCCACCCGCTGTGAGACTCGAACGAAACGGGCGCAGGAGATAGCGGTGCTCGTGGGGCTCGAACTGTGTACGCCCAACCTTTGCGAGGAGAGTATCGCTGAGTTCGTAGCGGGATGGACCGGCGAATTACAATTAGCGTGTAGTTTCAGGCGGCAGTTAGATGTTCAATCTTTGCCTGCGAAGTCTTTTAACGTCGCGACGGCCCGCGCTTACGTGCTCAAAGGCGGCGATTTCGCTGCCGTAGCTCGTCAGATCATGGGTGTACGCTTATCGGTGGAAGAAATCTTTTCAAAATAAAAGTAGAGGCCCACCGAATGAATTTGTCCGACTCCCATTTGCGCGTCCGCCCTGCCGCATCTATGACGCTTGGGTTCTCCACGATCAATCCTGAGATGAATGCGCATGGGATTATTTTGGGAACGTTACGCCAGGTTACATGAACTCTCTGCTGAGAGACTTGGCAGTGGTCTCGGAGCTCAAGTCGTATCAGAAGCTAGATTTCCACGATGGCCCGTACCCGAGCTTTAGCAAGATTGGCATCATGAGCGGTCTCAAGCGTCTCCTGTTCGGAGACAGCCGCGAGACGACGTTCTCGTTTCTTCGAGAGTCTGTTTGGGAGCGCTCACGAGATAACCGCACTGCTCCTCGAATCCAATCGTCTGGCGGACCGTACGCACGACGGCTATGATACGGTGCTTCAACAGATGTGCACCTTACTCACATACGTATCAAGATGCACGAAGGGTCTGCCCGCCCTGCGTCAGACGTATGGGTCCGACGAGACCGCGAACGCGAGACTCACCGTGATCGCGCTGCGCGAGCGAAGTCTCGGGTCGGATCGAGCAGGTACTCGGCGGCGTAGATAGCAATTGAGCATGCATACGGCGTATGGTCCCGGGAGACGGGTTTAAAACGCCCGTCGTTGCCGGTACGAGCCCATTTCTCAGTTAGCAATGGATTTCTTCTCGCCACCGTCCCCGCGACCGGCCTTCCGTGCGGGCGTGCAGCACTACCTGTCTGGGGCCCGAGCATCTGCGCTGAGGTGCTGGGAGCACGCGGCGGAGATCGGCAGCGTGGACGCGCACTTCGCGGTCGCCGTCTTCGGGGACGAGCCCACGCCGCGTGCGCTCAGACGGTTGCTGGCGTGCTACGATGCGGGCCACGGCATGACCAAGGTGATGCTGGGGGTGTACAGCTACCTGGGAATATGCGGGATGCCCAGGGACGACGTCGCGGCCCACGAGTACTGGCGGAAGGCTGCGGATGATGGCGAGATCCGGGCATTGTATATGCTGGCAGTCATGCGCGAGGAACGGGGAGACTTCGCGGCGGCGCGCCGCCTGCTCAAGATCGCTGCGCGTGGTGGTCTATTGACCGCCTACAGCAGGCTCGCTCTCTATTTCCTGATGGGGCTCGGTAACCTGAGCCAGGACGTGGACTTGGGCATGAAGATGCTGCGGCGCGCTTCGGCGGACGGAGAACCCACAGCGAAAGAGTTTCTGATAACGTGCTACGAAGAGGGAGTCGGTGTGACAAAGGACACGGATGCTGAGTGGAGGGAGTGCGAGGAGTATTGGATTTGGGTCCAGGAGCGTCCACCTAGAGAATTGTGCAGCAGTTTGGACCTGGTTGGCTGGCTGATCGAAGCATAAATAGAACGATAACTGGCCACTAATATGCGAGCATACATACGTTACTCATGAGAACGCACACCGAGACCCTGATTCCAATTGACCATAATTCGGGCGTAATCACTACTCAACGATGATCAGTCGCGCTGAAGACCAGATGGATGAAACGGTGTTTATTCGGCACATCAAAAACCGACAGGCACGCTATGTACTCTGGAGTAAACCGTATACTACTTTAGATTCAATATGCTCCTCAGTTCGTCCAATTCAAGGAACAGACTCTCACGCACTTCTGCACCGACGTGTGATTCTTTATCCGGATGTACAAGTAGCAGAGCGTCCTTACACGCCTTCCGGATCTCTCCCGACTTCATCTCTCCCAATCTAGTCATGTCTGCTATCCCGACCCGTACAAGCAGTCTCTTCAGCCTTATTCCGGGGCTTCCTTCAGCTGCCAGTCGGTCCTTCCGGGCGTTGGTCAGATTCGCGAAACGGCGTACTTATCTCTCATAACGTACACACTCTAACATCATCGCATGCTGGTACAACTTTTGCTGGAGGTGACAGCGGTATTCTGGTGTGAGACACCCCGTTTGTAAACTATGGAGCACATTGTTGTGAAAATCACACTGCTCCTTCTCTATCCATTCTAGCTGAAAAGCTGTGAAGCTCAAAACTTGTTCCGTCGTCCACCCGCTGATCGAGACAAACTCAGCAACCCGTATCCTATCCATTCTTTCCACCTCCAGGAGTTGCGCCCACTGCTCGGCTGCCGCCTTCTCCCTCGCCGTCTCGAATCGCGCTGCTGCCTCATCCCTCTCTCTGGCGACCCTCTCCTTCTGTTTCACTGCTGCTGCCTCCTCCCTCTTGAGCTTCTCTCTCGCGACCCTCTCCGTGTCGAATCGCGCTGCTGCCTCATCCCTCTCTCTAGCGACCCTCTCCCTCTGTTTCGCTGCTGCTGCCTCCTCCCTCTCGAGCTTCTCTCTCGCGACCTTCTCCGTCTCGAATCGCGCTGCTGCCTTCTCCTTCTCCAGCAGCTTCCTCGCGACCTTCTCCTTGTGTTTCGCTGATGCCTCCTCCTTCTCGAGTTTCTCTCTATCGACTTTCTTCTTCTCCCTCCGCTCCGCCGCGGTCCTTTCCTTCTCGGCGACCCTCTCCTTCTCGAGTTCCGCTGTTTCCTTCTCTTTCTCGAGCTTCTCTCTCGCGGCGACTCTCTCCGTCTCGAGTTGCGCGGCTGCCTTCTCCTTCTCCAGCAGCTTCCTCGCGACCTTCTCCTTCTGTTCCGCTGCTGCCACCACCTCCTTATCGAGTATCTCTCTCGCAACGTTCTCCGTTTTACGCTTCTTTTTTGCAAATTTCACCTCTTCATCTGCTCGGATGCTGCGACACTCTTTTTCTCGAGCTGCTGTCTCGCATTCCTGTCCCTATGTGGCTGCTGCTGCTTATCAACACGACGCTGCTTGGCAGCAACCGGGTCTTTGCCCAGCTGCACATCTACATACACGACCTTCTTCCCTTCGGAGTCTGCCGTCAACCGACTCCTTTTTCGTTTGGGTCCACCTCCCTTCTCCAACTGCTGCGTCCCATCGACCCGCACTTCTGGGTGGTTGTTTTCCACAGCATGCACCTTGGCATGAGCCCATGCCATTCTTGGCTCCGCATGTATTTCTAAATCTTCCAGCACTTTGAAGATTTTGATCCTAGCTTCACGATACTCGTTCTTCTGTGCTTGCAAATCATCATCGCACATGACGACTTCAGCTTTGAAATGCCCTCTCTTGAGTTATGAGTGCCCACAATTCCCCACCTACCAGAAAGGAACAACAGCGCCCAGAATTTCCTGACCCCAGAAATACAGCAGATTTGTACACTTTGTTTAGGGAAGGATGAAGGTAGAGCGATTGTGGACATGCGAGTTCGCCTGCTATTTATGCGCCTGGTAGGAAAGGGTCAGCAGGCATCAGGGAATAGCAGCAGGGGACAGCATAAAATACCGGTAAGCAGCAGGGGACAGCAGGGAATGACAGGAGGGGGGCAGCAGTGGTACCGAACTGTAATGTAGACGGTCCGGATAAGGCAGTTCCGTGGATGCTTCAGCGATCGGATCGGATCGGTTGGTTCGGATTCTACTGAAGATTGTATTTTAGGAGCCGTGCAGCTCCGCCTGCATCAGGTGCAGGTGATGCCTGCAGCCGCCGTGCAGCTCTGCGTGCATCGGGTGCAGGTGCTGCATGCAGCCGCCGTGCAGTTCTCCGTGCATCAGGTGCCGGTGATGCATGCAGCCGCCGTGCAGCTCCGCGTGCATCAGGTGCCGGTGCCTTTGCTGCAGTCCAATCTGGGACCGAAAAACCGTTGGGATATGCTTGGATAACCGTTTTTCATCGGACGGTGATATCGCGGCCAGTGAACTGACGTGCTTAAATTTTAAACTGCCCGTACCATCGGCAATCACGTCCGTACACGCCCAGTTGAGTTCAACTTCCGAGTGTTACTGCACACGTGGCTAAGCTGGCTAAGCTTAACCATACATTGTATACTCCGTGTCCAGCACTGCCAGAGCTCAGGACCCTTGCCGTGTGTGCCGTGCGGTGCCTCAGGTTCCCTCAGCCTGATCCGAAAGCAGAATCCCAGTGGATCCCTACAGCGACGACTTCAGACCGCCCCACACATAGATACAATACTTGAGGCCTCAAACACATCTCACATTTTCATTTCAGCTGCCGCTCACCTTTCGAGCTTCTGTCACAATTCCCCTATCCCCTCTCCCAATTCCAGCCTGCATTTCCAGCTTCAACACGCAGCCATCCTCTCCCAGCTTCATCCCGCACCTCTCAGCCATTCCAGCCTGCCCTTTCCATCTTCCAAAACGCAGCCATCCTCTTCCTGCTTCCCTCCTCCACCTTTCAGCAACCCCCTTGCCCTTTCCGTCTTCCAACACGCTGCCATCCTTTCCCCTGCTTCACCCCTCCACCTTTCCATCAACCCAGCCATACCCTTCCATCTTCCAACACCCATCCTCTCCCTGCTTTACTCCACTTCTCCTCAATTCCAGCCCTGCGTTTCCAGCACCTAGCCCCTTGCAGCTTCTCGGTTTGAGACAGCTTATACGGTGGGCCAAACGACGACCATCCTCCTTTCTTTGAGCTGAGGTACACGGTGAGACCTCTTCTGTAATGCTGTGTGTTGCATCACGCTTGTGTAGGCTCTCTTCTGCACTGCTTGCTTGTCGGGTGAAAGCACAATGCCTCATTATTGTATTCATTTGTTGTGTTCACAGGTTTGCAAGACTGACTATTTCCCCAAACTTTTGTTCACCAATTGCCCCCCACCTGATAACCCCCCCCCCTACATTTGAGACGATGGCCAACCCGTCCTCTCGAATGTCTTTAAATTCACATGTCACAGCCCTATCCCTTAGAATTTTCCAAGGCGACAGTCAAAAAGACTGTCGCCTTGCATACACCATACCCCGGGGTATGCCTTCCTTCCCTATTCCAATATACTGCACCCTTTAACCACTCCTCTCATCAAAACTTCCAACCAGACATTGAAGTAGGGTCAAGGCATCTGCTCTGCCCTTGACCCTACCTCAGGGAAACATCGGCATCTTAGCTGATAACAACTAACACTACTAACCCGGCTTATCCTTGACCTTCCGAATGCTTCTCTTTTAGTATGTTGGTGACTTTCTTCATTTTTCTGCCTTTGTTTGATTTTCCCAAGCCGGCTTGGTCTTTTATAGTGTAGTGTTTTTGCTGTGTATCGTGTCCTTCTGTTTGTGTGCTGGGTGAGATTATCCTTTTTTCCATTCGCTGGGGTGTTTTGATTTACGATATGTTCTGCGATACTTTCTGTCTCTGTGTATGACGCATCACGCAGATTCGGAGGCCCGTCTGACAAACCTACCAGCCAGCAGTACAGCCGCACGTCTTTGTCAAGATGAGTACCCAACACATTTCATCCATTGTTGAGTTCTTCCCAGGCTCAAACTCGCATCCGTTGGACAGGGTGCCTATAAGAGTTCGAGCAAGAAGATGTCGTGGTAGTGTTTGTTTGTCCACAGCACGTATTCCACGATGTCTGCACCTTATCTTTCAATATGCCGTCCTCGTGAAACATCCACAGAGAATTGACCCATTTCCCCCTCATGCTGTGCAGGTTGCGGGCGACCGGGACGCGCTGATACGTAAAGATGTTGACCGCGGTGTGTGTCTCGTGCAGGTGGGAGACAACCACACCTGCATCCCCGATGATTCCGACGACGTATGTCCGGTGAGCTGATGATTTGCTCCCGGTGTTTTCTCGTATAGGCAAAATGTTGCATTAGGTTCTCAGAATCGTATGTTATTCTGCCGCACTTCGTGCAAGTATCGAGCCGTCCAGGTTGAGATTGTTTCCCGCCAGTTTCGACGGACGCAAAAAGCAGATTCGGAGACCTGTGACGAGTTCAAGACAACACCGCGCCGCACGTCGTTGCCGAGGTGAGTAGGCAGTAAACGCAGTATATAGCCCAGTGTTCCTTGGAGCTCAGACTCGCATCCGTTGGACAGGGTGCCTATAAGAGTTCGAGCAATAAGATATTGTGGTAGTGTTCGTTTGTCCACGGCACGTATTCCACGATGTCTGCACCTTATCTTTCAATGTTCCGTCCTCGTAAAATATCCACAAAGAATTGACCCATTTCCCCCTCGTGCTGTGCAGGTTGGGGACGACCGGAACGCGCTGATACGTAAAGATGTTGACCGCGGTGTGTGTCTCGTGCAGGTGGGAGACAACCACTACTGCATACCTGATGACACGAATTTTCGACGACGTATGTCTGGTGAGCTGATATAGGCCCGGTTTTTCTCCGTATATTGGTGTGTGTGCATATGTACATGTTGCACGTGATGTTTACTCATGAAAACTCTACTGTATTGGAATTTTTCGCCGCATTTTTGTGCAACTACCGAGAGCCGTCAGACCTCCTTCATTTTCGGCTTACGTGCAGAATCGGAGACTCGTGACGACCCCTGTCATCCGGAACTTCAAGACAATGCGCACCGCGCAATTGTTTTTCGAGGTGAGTAAGCTACCAACTTTGGTTTACACTCGTATGTAACCCGGTATTCCCAGGCGCCGGCGTACTTCAACATACGAGAGTAAGTATTGTACTGACCGATGGGTGAAATTTGAGCAACATTGTTCATGTTTCTGTGTACCGTGCTATCTCCAACCTCTAGCCTAGTACCAAGTCCCTCATACTTCTGAGACTAGGAGCCATCTCTCCGACTCGTCCCCTGGCAACGCCAGGTTCATTCGAGGCTATCTACATCCTCGACTGTTAGCAACTACTTGGGTCTTCTCCGCTTGGTTCTCGCAGGTCCGTCCTTCGTTGTTGCATACCCCTGTCTTCCGGCTTGGTTGTCACCGGTGTCCCTCTCGGGACGAACATGCTCTTGCGAAGCGATGCTATAAACGTTTCATTCTTAGGACTCGACTTTTGTGGGCCTACTCCCTTGACATCATCTTGACCGTCCGATGCTCATCCTACGGTCTTGAATGATCCTCTCTGGTCTCGCGACTGGAGTGAGCTCGCCTGAAGGATGATAGAAAAGAGCTGTTGAACAATATTGCCCAGTGTTTCTCCCAGCAGTCAAAACCCTATTACTTTTCTGCTTGCAAATTCAAGCGTGTATCCATCCTCGGCCAATTGTTCGGTTTGCGTTGGTCTTATTGACGAAATGAATCCCGTTCGACAGAATCGACATCGCTCGCGGGGGCCACGTCTGCACGCCATCGGCTCATCTTCGAACGCCTCCTTCGTGCCAACAAACCCATCTGTGGAGTGTGAGGGATTCGAGCACGCAAATCACGAGGTAAGTCGCCACTGCATGTGATTTATTACATTGTATCCAGGTCAGTGAAGTCATGTTGGAGCTGTACTCTTCTTCAGATGTTCGATAGCAGGAGTGATACTTTATTTTTTTCAGTGGAACTAATCTTGTCTCGTTTTTCGTTGTTTGCAGGTTATGGTGGGCGATGAGCTTGTGAATTTTACATACATCAACTTTCAATCTCTCCTCTTTATGTAATATGCAGGTCGCGTTGTGGTGAAGAGACTGGTGTATCTGTAGACGTCGGTCCGGATCAGTCTGTATCTGTAGATGTCGGTCGTCTTGGGTCGGTCGCGTCGGGGGGGGGGGGGGAGGTGGGAGAGGGGGGAGCAATCACGCGGGGTGGGAATGCCCGCGCGCATCGATGTGTTGGCTACTCTCGTCGGTCTGGCTGATGCGGGTGGGTATGCCCGCACGCCATCTCTCTGGGTTGTGGTGGTGTCGCAACCCTCGTCGCTCTCGGACTGTCGCGGGGTGGGAATGCTCGACTGCCCTGCAAACTGGGCGGGTCTTTGGGACCCTATGGGATGGGTACCGTTGCGTTGGTGACTTGTCGGTCTGGCGGATGTGGGTTGAGAATGCCCGCACGCCTCTCTGGGTTGTTCTGGTCTCGCAACCCTCGTCGCTCTCGGATTGTTGCGGGGTGGGAATGCCCGCATACCCTTCTACTGGGCGGGTCTTTGCGACCCTGGACGCTGTTATGCGATGGATACCGTTGCGTCGGCGACTATCGTCACTCTGGCTGATGCGGGGTGGGAATGCCCGCACACCTCTCTAGGTTGTTCTGGTGTCGCAACCCTCGTCGCGCTCGGATTGTTGCGGGGTGGGAACGCCCGCATGCCCTTCTACGGGGCGGGTCTTTGCGACCCTGGACGCTGTTATGGGATGGCCCGTTGCGCTGGCGACTGTCGTCGCTCTGGCTGATGCGGGGGTGGGAATCCCGCACGCCTCTCTAGGTTGTTCTGGTCTTGCAACCTTCGTCCCTGTCGGATTGTTGTGGGGTGGGGATGCCCGCATGCCCTTCTACTGGGCGGCTCTCTGCGACCCTCGACGCTGTTGGGTGTTATGGGAATGGCGATTGTTTTTCGTCTTGTTGAGAGTGTTTTCTGTACTGTCTGAGTCTCTTTTTCTGAGTTTCGTCGCCCCCAGTGATGAAGTTCTGATAGGGGGTGACACAACCAACTCGCCGCTAGATGTTGGTCTGCCGCGGAAACGCGGTTGAGGTTCGACTCCTCAAGCGGTCTGACTATCACATCCAGACACGAGAGCAGCATCACGGCTGCTAACAGGATACTCGACATGGATACGAATGTTGCGCTTGAATCGATTAGACGTACTCCTAATCGAAGAGTGCAATCCGACTCGAATGGATATGGTATAGTCTGCACGAGCTTGGCGGTACCCCCGAAATCGCACGCGGACGCGTCCTGCCCTCTATCCTGAAAGAATCCGTTGTATGCGATGGTGGCATGTCTCCTCAGACTCGGTGGCGAGTAACACGATGCGTCTTTTTGGATGGACGTGCAGTCCGTCGCGTTGCATGCGAAAGATAGCCCGGAGAGCAACGCGTCGTCGGGCGCCTCGCTCCGGACCACGCAGAACGTGCGGTCCACGGTCTCGTAATCCACGCCGGGCACCAGGGCGTACGTTCCCACGGCGCTGACGTTCAATTTAGAAGAGGCAGCTGAATCGTATATGCCCCACCGCCTGCTCCAGGGCGCATCTTCCGTGAGCTCAGCGGTGTCTTCGTCGAGCAGTTCGCGAAACACCAGGGACATGTTCGCGCCCGGTCTCTTGGGCGAGCCCTCGCCGCCGGCCGTCCAGCGCGCCGCCCCCTCCAGGAAGGTCGCCGTGCGTCGGGCGGTCGCTCCCGCGGCCCCGTCGGTAGGCCAGCCCGTCGTGAGGGACACCGGCAGGTCGCCGAAGCCCAGCCCCTCGAGCGCGTAGACGGCGGCGTCGTGGACGGACGAGAGCGCGTCGGCGTACCAGAGGCCACCGCCGTCGTCCCAGAATCCCTGAGCGGTGGGTTCCAGCGCGAGGAAGGCGACCGTGGCGGGGTCGGTCGCTCCCAGCGCCAGGAGGAACGGGTAAGCGTCCAGGCTGAGCCCCGCGGCGCTGGGCAGTGTTCGCTCGAGCACCGGCGCTGCATCGATACCGAACCTGCCGGCGGAGGGCGGGTAGGACGCGGACAGGTCGTCCAGCCCGACCGAGACGGTCACGCCGACCCCCAACGGGTTCACGCGCTCCGCCAGGTTCTTCGACGCGGCGGGCAGGGAGTCGCCGAAGCGCGCGGCGTACTCTGCGGCCAGCGGGGTCACCCCCAGCTGGATCGAGTCTATCGGGTAGCCCCGCGAGAGGGGCCCGCTCACCTCTCGCGCCACCCAGTCGTCGAGCGCGGGAGATGGGAGCTCCGAGAATTGCTCTATGTAATCGTTTGGTACGACCAGGCGGATGCGGAGGTCCGACCCGGCCCCTGCGAAGGGACAGTCCGCAGTGGAACGTACGGCGAGACCGCCGAAGCGGCCCGCTGTCACGAGCTTCGACGCGAGGCCGTCCGGAACGGGCCGCACCTGGGCCCTGCTCAGGCCCACGAGGAGCTCTCCGTGCGCGGATCGGGCGAGCATGGCCATGCAGAGCAAGCATAGGAGTCTGGGCACGACCATGTGGTGGTACCATAGATACGATTCGATACGACAAAAAAATCGGACGATCGCTCGAGATACGTGCACGGTTGCCAGCGAAAGGACTTCAGGATTTATGACATGAGTATCAAACGGAGTCTTATTTCGGACCCTAAGAACCCTAAATTCAGAATACCCTAAAACCCCTTGTCACTACAGTTGCAGGTAGTGACCGCTACTCTGTGGTGTCTTGTGAAAATTCGTCCACTTCCTCGATCTGCAGAGGGGGCACGTGTCGTGGCGCTCGAGCCACCTCTCGATGCACTCCCTATGTATCTGTTTGCGACACTCCGGACAACGGTTCCGTTCACCCTTCGCGAAAGTATCATAGCATATCGAACAGTCCGCGTCCTCTCCCTCTTCGAATGGTGCAGCAGCGAAGCGATCGGAGACTTCTTCGCCTCCCGATAACACGCTCTCGTACTTTTCGGTGAGATCCAGGTCCACCAGATCGGAATCTAAGCGCGCGTGACCGGCCGCGATCCCCGCTAGCCGACTCCGTGCAGCCGCCAAACGAAGTCCACGAAGCCTTCGTTCGGAGAATACGTCGTCGGACGTGCGGTCGAGGGCGAGCTTGCATACCCTCAACGAGGAGGAAACAGATGTGTTTGCACAAGCACCCGTTGTACCGACACCGCCCCGTGAAGTCCGGGCAATCGCAGCTCAGCCCTCCGTCTGACTTCACGGTGAGGGTGTAAACGGCCTGCGTAGAACCGCTGAGCTTCACCACTGCATCATTCCAAGGTCCATCGCATTCAACATCAAGCACGAAGAAACGTTCTTCGTATATTCTATGGAGTCTCCTTCGTTGATCATAGGTCATTGAATATACCATGTTGCAGACCTACGGATCCGAGACCCTCGGGCCTTCCTTATATATGCACGTTGACCAAAAGACCGAGTCAATTCGACATCGTATGCATGCTCTGAGCCGGCAAACCTTCATGCTATGAACTCTCCAATCTCGAAATCAGAAAGTTCAATCCATTTGTAAAGTCACTTGAGTACATCTACTGCGCTATATTCGCATGTGTAAGCCTACTCTGCCGTTATCGCCTTCTGCTGATTTGTCTCTTATACTCGCAACTAATAGATTCAGACGTCGTATGACTCCCCATTTGGAACCTCACTAGTGCCCGCTTAACTTTCTGAACGGTGACGCGTCGTGCAGTGATGAGGGAGATCATCCGTCTGATTCCAACACCCGTAGAGACTTGATGATGAGGTTGTTGTGCGCGCGGTTGATCATCTCGATCAAGGACGGATCGCTCGTCACCAAGGTGCGACACAGGCGCATGCTCTCTTCTACGAGCTGCTGGGTGCTCTTCACACGCAGTCGGGGGGCTTCTGATTGCACTTTCGCCATTTCGTTCGCATGCTTCGCCTTCTCCATCTCGATCTCATTCTGCACCTTCAGGCGCTTGAGGGCCCTGTACTCCTCGCATGTCTCTTCCACCGGATCCCCGTGCTCGGTGGCAGCCCGAGTCTCCTCGGCGGTGACCTGCCCGGACCCATATCGGACCACGAGGTCGATCACCTTCACCGCGAACTGAGGTGAGCACCACATGGCGAGATTCATCGCCACTTGCGGATGAATCCACGTCCCTCGCTGATGATTCGGGCCGCTGAGCGACGTCTGAACGACGTCGCTCCTGTCCACTGCGCGAGTCAAGCCGTCCATGAACGCTCTATGACCATCTTTGTAGTCGGCCCACGTCTTCCCAGCAGACTGACACATCTTCGTGGCGGACATGTAGCCGTCGCTCATGCGCATCTCGGTGATCATCTGCCCGTCATCGGCCCACAGCGCAACGACGGTGTGCTCCGGGTGTACATCGTTACATCACCAATCTTGGACGCCGTGAAGATCGGGATGTGGAAGGGCTCGATTGAAAACTCAAGAGGCGCTACTCGACGTACTATGGACCACAGTTGACCCTCGATGTCATCGAGACCGACGACTGCAGGAAATTAGAAACACTGGCACATTCAAACCTACGAGAGTTCAGGATAGCATCCGAGTTTTATATTAAAGGTGCGGCGGACTTTAAAGCCATAATTGCACGATTACAGTCGTGAATTTGTACATGGGGGCGATATCTTCGCCACGATTGAACGATTACAGTCGTGAATCTGTACGTGAGGGCGATATCTTCGCCACAAAACACATAAGATGTTATTAAGGTTGAAAAGATGGATGCTAGTCGAAGTTTGTATGATAACTCTGACATCGCAAAGTTTGCCGTGGGATAAATATATGTGATAACCGGGTGTGATGACTTCGCAAACTTTGGCGAGTCTGGCTGTAGCTCGCGCTTAAGCAACAGAACCCAACACGAGCCCGGAATGGAGAAACGTATCCGATTCGACAAAGAAGCCGAAACGGTGAAGACTCACGCATCACTACTTTGCAGCAACCCTACAGTGTATACTTCCCGTATAAAATGTCAGAATTTTACTCGGATCGTATCATAATTCGAGATGGACCGGGGACGTCTCCGGGAGTTCGTGTCGGCGCACTGCGACGTGGGTGATGCGCTATTTGTGCCGCGCCGCGACTTCAGCAAGGCATTCAAGGACTGGCGGGGAGGGAGAGCGGCTCCCAAGGGCCTCCCCGAGGCGATGGATGCATTGGACTACAAGCAATCCACGAAACCGTGGGGCCCGGACAGGAGGAACACGGGCGTGTACCTAGGCGTTCGTCTGCGCCAACAGCCGATCGTCGAAGTCGAGCCCGCGGGTCCGGAAGACGCTGCGACCGAGCGACCCGCCGAGGAAGTTACCATCGCCGTGGTCGACAATGCGAGGGACGTGTTCCTCGAGAACCACCTCTTCGGAGAGGATTTGAGCGGCTCTCGCATCAGAAAGACCGCCGATACGCCCCCGAAGATCAGCATCCTCGACCTGATCGCCATGGTGACTGGTACAGTCAATCCCGCCAAATCGTGGGCGGATCTTTCGAGACGTTTTGCAGCAGAGGATGTACGGGTTTTGTCGGGTTTCGCGAAGTTTGCGGGGCAGGGGCAGACCGACACTCCGGTCACGAACGCAGCAGGCGTGGTCATTATCATCAACGCCCTCGGCGGCGCGAGGGCCGCAAAGTTTCGCCAGAAGTTCGCCGACACCCTCGTCCGCTACTTGGGCGGAGACGAGACCCTGATCGCCGAGATCCGCAGCATACACGAGGCGCAGGAGCAGCTCCCGGACGGCCACCCGCTGAGGCTCTTCGGCCGAACCGTGGAGGCGGAGAGGGCGCCCGAGCGCGACGACGCGGACGAGGCGCAGTGCGCGCTCAAGCGCCAGAAGCTGCAGAACGAGTGGGACCAGGAGATCCAGCGCGGGAAGCAGATCAAGGCGGAGGGTGAAGCCGAAGCCGCGAGGCACGAGGCGGAGTTACGCACCATCAAGCTGCAGGACTGCGAGCAGACCGTGGAGGCGAAGCACCGCATCCTCGCCATCCTCTCCGCCGGGACCGGCTCGGCGGCACCGCCCGCGCTGACCGGAATGCTCAGCGCCGCACGCCACAACTTGGCCTCGCAGACCCTGGCGCAGCTGACCGTCCTTTCGGGGGACGTGGCATCCGGATCGCAGAGCGGCCCCCTCGCCATCCAGGCAGCTCCGGCCCCCGTGGCTACGGCCAAGCGCGTCACCGTGCAAGAGATTGGGCGCGACGTCCTGCGCCTCCGGTCCCGCGACATGGCGAGCGCGCAACTCTCCAAGGTCGGCCACGCCGTAGCCGCGCGCTGGCTCAACACCCCCGGCAACGGGAGTCTGGACCAGAAGAGCCAGAACCAGTGGGAGCGCACCTACAAGGACGGCCCCGTCGTCAGGAGAGAGTCCGTCCGCGAGGTCACTCCGGACATGCTGGCGACCCACCGCATCAAGTTCTCGCAGGCGTACCTGGGGGCCAACGAAGTGGGCATGGGGCAGGCGTTCGACGTATGGACGTATCCAGAAAAAGAGGCCCAGGAGATGATCGAGCGAGCTTTCGAGAGCGTCAGGGATTCGGAGTAGTTCACATGATGTAGTAGTGGAAGTTCTGCACCGCATCGAAGACTTCGATCCGATCGTCGCAAACATCGCAGGTAGCCAGAGTCGTGATCAGGGGTTCCGTGACAATGTCCTCGGCCCTGCGCCGCTTGTCTCTGGCCGCAATAGTCTTCCGTTTATGACTTTTTCGTCGGGTCCATATCCCTTGAACGTGTATCGCATCGCGCCGCGCGCATCCCTGACGTCGGTCGCCACCCTCACGCAGAAACGCCCCAACTTATGCGTTTGCGACGGCTCGTGCGGCGGAGCCATGGTGCTCCCCAGACTCATGGCATGAGCATGTAATGCGAACGTTGCTGCGGACGCCATGGCGTATAAATGCAAGCCGGCGAGAAAAATATGCGTGTCCCGTGCGCGCGCTCCGCAACTCTTTTCTGAGGCCAGAGTTACCAGTCGATGGAAACGACCCAGCAGGAATGGGACAAACTCTTGACCGCCGCCAACGGTGGAAACGGCTTCGCCATAGACCACATCGTCGAAGGCCGGCTGAGGCACACGTTGCCCGCCTCTCTGAGGGAGGCGTACGAGGACCAGTGCTTCCTGATGTGGTCCCGCGACGGTGAGTACGCGGACGACGTGAAGGCGGCCGCAGCCGCTCACGAGCCCACCGAGTCGGCCGCCTTTCGAGACGAAGACATTTCCGTGCTCGACGTGCGCTTCGTGGATGCTGCTTCCGCCTGCAGATTCATCGGGCTCGGCGTGGAAGGTGAATACGACATCAGCATCTCGTTCCACCCGCGGAGCGCCAAGCCCATCCGGGTACTGCTCCGAGAGGAGGAAGGCGTCGACGGGGACGGAGAGAAGTTCGAAAGATCGAAGATGTGGGAGGCGTCCGGCTTCAAGCTGGTCAGGGAGTGGACGTCTCGGTCGAGCATAGCGTCCGTGCGCTCCAGGAATTCACTCGACGGCCGCCCACCGACGAAGGCCCATAACGACGCTTTCAAAGGCCGGACCGTCGTCTACGCCGTCAGGACGCTCCCCCAGAAGATGCAGAACAAGTCGGGCAGAGGAGCCGAAGCGAGTCTGGAGGTGCGCTTCGGAGTGAGGGAACCCCTCCCGGATGCCGAAGACTCTTCCCTCGTGGTGAGGGTCTCGACGTGCGGCCGTATACTGACGCGTCCGGAGAAGGGTTGCTCCAGCATCCGCGCGGCGTCCTCGGTGCGTATCGCTAGCACCGCAGGCGCATGCAGCCTGATAGACTGCGACGCGGGCGGTCAACGAGAAGGCAGCGCAGTCTACTGTAACTGGCAATTCGGCGGCCACGTGTTCGAATGCGGGCGCACGGCGGTGACTCCGCTCGGGTCGCCTTCGGCGGAGCTGAGCTCCACATCGTTCTGGCTCCTGGCCGCGAGGGTCATCCGCACCATGACGATTGACTGGGACAACGAGCTCACGGACGCGAGCGAAGCAGAGGACAAGAGGGGGTTCAGAGCCAAATTCTCGCGGATCTTCTCCGACGACAGGTCCGCGCGCCCCGTGCTCTCTCACAAGCGCATGGATGTGTGTTTCATGGGAGACTCGACATTCATCGACCGTCTGGAGAGGCAGGGCATCCTCCGTCGGGTCCGGAAGAACAACGTGAGTTGGAACAAGACCCTGACGGACAACATGAAGGTGCACAGGGCGAGCCTGGTCGCATCCGCCCGGTTCTGATGGACACGGCACAAAACTACAACTCCGATGGGACATGCGCAGTATTGTTCGTGTCCGTGTGGACCGTACTATCTCCGACCTCTAGCCTTATACTATGTCCCTCGCAAAAACTATTCTGAGCATCTCAGTACTCATAAAGCTCGTACTGGAATCCGTCTGAGTTGTACACTCCCGCGGAGTCCATCGCCTTCCTCAAGATGTCGATCGTGGTCTCCTTCTCCTTGATGGTCTCCTCCCTCGCCGCGACGTGCCGCATCATGCACTCGTAGCAGTCCTGGACGACATTGAAGCGCGCCGAGGTCACGATCGCGCAGGTGTGGTGGTACTTGTCCTTCTTGTTGCCCCGCCACGTGCACCCCAGACGTGTGCCGTCCGGAGCCGTCAGAGAGAAGCGGCAGCAGGTAGACTCGCACTGCCTCTCGTGGAGGGCGCGATCCTTCCGAGCGTACCTGCGGCCAACAGGGGGTGACGTCCCTCACGCGCGGATCCGCGAAGAATCCGTTCCTCATGCGAGTCGCGAACTTCGACGCGATTGCTGGAAGGTGCGGAACGGACGATTCGCGGCAGCTCACCTGACCGGGCAGCCCGGCTGCGCGCAGGGCACCATGTTGAAGGAACACTCGGATAGGAGGTGCGTCTCCATGTTGTCGAGCGTGACTAGTTCCGGGCAGGAGGGGGACTCGCACTCGATCAGGGCGGTGCTCCTCAGCAGCGCGGTGGCCGTCGGATCCGGCACGACTCCACCCGGCTGCTTGCAGGTGGTGCAGCGAGACTCGAAGTCAGGATCCTCGACGTGTGCGGTACAGAGGTAGACGCGGCACTCGCACCTCTGCCCCGGCGCCAAGCACACCAGTCGGCTCATATCCTTCTGATCCCACCCGAGACAGATGTAGCAACGGATGTCGTACATGCTCGATTCGAAGCCCTTGATGCTGTACGGGTCATCGTGCACCACCACGGTGGCGGGCGACGCCTTGCGTTTGGCCGGAGGGGCATCGAGTCGGGGAGGCATCCTTCCGGGCTGCGTGCGTCTGGCCATCCGAAAGACGTTCGTTCGATTTGAGAAGAATGGCACCTCAAAGCGTGGTTTTGATCAATACTCGGAGTATACGATGTATACTTACATCCGGTCGCCCCCTTGCGGTGATGGCGTCGCCCCTCTCTCCCACGGGCGCGCAGATCCGTGCGGACGCGGCGTGGCCTCCTTCGCCTTGCCGCGCAGCGCCCTCGACATCAGCCCGGAGCACGCGCAATGGGAGCGTACACCCGCCCGCCGGCGCCGGGGCACGAGCAGGGGGCTAGGATCATTCAGGGGGCGCATGCGAATCCCTAGCCAAAGAGACACAA